CGCAGTAATAATGCCTGCAAGACATGTGCTACGTGCGCTCTTCCCCCAAGCCAGCCTCCTTCACTGCTAGTGGGAAAGAGGTTTTGTTAACGGCCTTGTCGACGGTTTTTCTCAGTTTTTTCTCCACTGTCGTTCCACTTCGCATCTCTATACTCAGTTTCAATCGCCATAATACCCCCTTATTGAGCCCGACTTTTGCCTTTAAGCGCAAATGTACTCACAGTAATGGCAGCGCGATACAACGCTTCGAAGGACAAGCATATTCCTCGCTCATCGCAAGTTCAAGCAATATTTGGGAAGAAAGCTTCGAGAGGGGGGTGTAAAAGCGTACGGGTAAATCCACGAACTCCGGGTAGTACGGCCTTAGCAAAAATTGGAATTTCGGTAGGCGGCAGCAACTGTAGCACACATGCCTCGCTCCGCATTGGCACCACATGCCCCTCTCCATATGTATTAGATGAGACCCCAGAGTACTCTTGGATTCTCAATCTTATAGACTTATTGGAATTTTCAAAGCTTCTTACAAACACCTCCTTTGGGCCAATGAGGACTGTTCGTTCAGAACAAAATGAAATGCTGCTGTTTAGGCTGCCGAGATAAGGATCCTGCAATTTGTTCGAAGCTCACTATTGAATCGTGCTTATCGAGACCAGGCTTCTACATGAAATTGTGTCCTGTCAAGTGCAGAAACTGCAACGGTAAGTTTTCAAATCTATTACTGTACAGCTGGAACATCAATCTGGCGGGCTATCCTACACTCTATTTTCATTTTGAAACGAGCCGAAGAGGGAAGCTTCGTAGAATATTGACGCTCTCCTTTATGGAGATATGTAGTCTCTCCGTCCGTTTTGATTAGATGCGATGTGCAATGTTCACAGGTTAGAGGGAAAAAGCCCTAGCAGCTTTCATACATGCACACAAGCAACGTAGATCTAATGGAGAGTGTATCTGGGCTTCAAATTTCACTTTTCAATTTTTTGTTTCGTTTTTTTTTCAATATTTCAATGCTTTTTTTTTTCATTGCAACAATTTCAATGCTAATCGAGTAGTCTGTAATGCTAGAAGAGCATGAAGGAATTGTTGGCTGACGTAGGAGCGTTGATCTTGAAACAACGCTATCACTTTACGTGATGATGGCGACTAAATTTACTCCTAACAAAGTTACCTAATCTTGGACGGCTACCATTAAGTACTCATCAATTTACTTGCCGTCATTGATCTAATTTTTCTCACCTGGCTCAAGTTAGTACTGCAAGGATTGTTCCGAAATGATCCTTCATTATTATATTCGTTACTGCTTTTGTCGCTAATTTAAAGACTTACTACGGGACCAGTAGAACTGTTGGTGTGGGTTAGCGATGCGCCATTCAGACCCTTCAAAAGTGAGTGATGAGCGCGGCTAGGACTTTGCCAATCCTAACTATTTGTGTTCCTGAGTGGTACTATTACCGCCAGCTATGCAGCCTTCTTGTATGTGCCCTGCGGCGCCGTACGGCGTGCTCTTTCGCGTTTTCTTATATCTCTGCGACCTATGTCTCTCCGTCGTACCACGGCCGACCTTAGTGTTAGAGAATTTAAGCCCGTATTTTGAACCTTTTCCTTGATTTCTGCCTACTTTCAATTAACTCCGCGCTCCTGTGCTCATTATTAAGCGCTCTTCCACACAAACTTCGTCCTAGGACGTGTCTCTGACACTTACTTACAACAAGAAAGTTGGATCATGGGCAAAACTTCAGCAGAACACCAACCCAGCTATGCTTGTGTGAAGCGGTACCTAAGCATTGTTATCGGTAGCACAACTGCCCGGAAAGCGGAAGGTGCTACTTAGATTCCCATATGAGGCGAAGCGCTTTAACCATAACCCACATCGTTGTGATAGATTTCCATATCGAACGGCTCTTACTTAGTATCAAACCGTCTTGTAGGCTCCATTTCTTGGAACAGCTTAAGGGCCTTTTTTCAACTTATTGAGCATAGAGCAAGATATTAATTCCAGCAGGACCCCTTACCACGCAGTAAGTCGTAGTAGCAACCCAAACCAGGGAGAGGTTTGGCGCCTTTTAGTCGTCATGAAGGTGGAGCATGAGTCCGATCCAGATTAATCATTGCTCCTTTTGTAACCAGCAGTTGATAATTTGTGTATTCAACAACTGAAATGTTTCATCTGCTCTCAAAAAATTATTCACTTCGGTTTTAAATCTTTTCTATCGCTTGACTCTGTCTGTCCCTATTTTCAGGCCTACAGTGTCTAGATTCTGTGAAAATCGACTGCGCTGAAGTCCGCCGACTTGGCGGTTGCAAACTTCCAATGGCTGCTGAGTACTGTCCACGGTCCTGCAGACTCTGTGCTACACCGCCGGCACTTGCAGGTGAGTGCTATGATTGCGTCGACTCTGAGGAAGAAATCAGAAAGAAATTTCCTTCTTTTGCTCACATCAAAACGTAGATCGGGCAAGACTACGTTGATCAATAATTGATTTTCTGAAATCTTGAGAAGTGCCTCCTAAATGACATTACAGAGAGCTTACCACCGTGTAAAGACGAATTAGAGAACTGTATAGACCTTGCCGAAAGCGGTGTGTGCGAGCATCCATACAGGTGATTTTTCTGGACTAAAGTATTGACGACATTCTCTTTTTGTGAAACGATACAGTGTAATTACAGTAGGAACACGATGCGAATCTACTGCGCAATGAGCTGTGAATTTTGCCGTCAACCACAATACTACTTGAATGACGTCTATCGTAAATCGACAGCGAAGCCTAAATTCCCGTAAGTGAAAATATATAATAGTTTTACAGCTCAATAGTTCTGGAGCAGATTTCGGCAAGAAACTTCGAAGTCATCGGAGTGATAGGGCTAAAAGTGCAAGGTAGACACTGCCGGTCTCCCCCAAGGATGCGCCACAAATTCGAAACGTTCCCTCAATGAACTGTAGTGGCCAGTGCAATGAACTGTGGGTGTTATTCAATGTAGCCGTGCAAGGTTAGGTAACTTTACCAGGCTAAGGTTTCTGCTGGTCACATTCGTCAGAGCCTGAAAAACGATGTGGCTTGCCCTATCAAAGCCTTCGACGATTTTCATATCTTAGTAAACCACCTATGGTATCGATAGATATGCTATCAGGCCAACCGTAGCCTAATGCTACATCAAGTATTCATCTGACTATGCCAGCATTGGAAGAAAGTCGATTCTGGACGATTTGTTCAAGATTCAAGTTTTTCTCCTTCCGGGTGACTTCTAGAACAACTACCTAGAGACGAGAAAACGAAAGGCTTGTAAACTTGAATGAGATTCGATCCGGATCCTCGCAGTGTGCGTATCAGAAGCCGAGCTACTTTCCGCGGCACCAACTCCCATGGAAGTGCCGAAAGGGAAACACCGCTCAAAAGCACACTCACTAAGAATTCATGTGGATAAATCCCATTGATGGCTAATATGAGGGTATCCAGAAGATGTTCTATCTCAGCGCTTCTAGAGTGCGCCGAAAAACAGATAAAGGATAAGGATAAAGGATAAAGCATTTGCCGTTGATCAATCCCTTTTTGGGATGCGGCACGCATTCTACTTCCATTTGTACATTCGTAGTGGCGTTTGAATGCGATGTGGCCTATACAATGACTTGCGGGGGCCAGCCGATGTACAAGTCAGTGTTTTTATCCTCCCAGACAAGTCTGGTACCAATTAACCGACCCGGAGGGATGGAAGGCTTGGTTGGCCCGGGCGACTCACGACCCAGGATTTGATCCCCGGACGCGCTCGCGTGGTAAGCGTATGAGCGTGCCAGAAAAAGCCACGTCTGATTAATATACCCACCTCTAGCTAGCTTCCGTAATTGTCATCTTCGTCAAATCTCAATCGCTGTCTCGTTTGAATCTCTCTTCTTCCCACGTCGACCCTCCAGAATTTCAATACCGTGACTCTGTCCGTCGAATCACTCGCCAATCCATACGAACTCCCGGTAAAAGCGACGGGGTTTTTCCATATTTGGAGCGCGCTTGACGAAACTTGCCTTCCTTTTCTTCACTAGCAGCACTCTCTTCGAAACGCTCTAGTGTATTTCGGCGGAATCCACCTCCACAATTGTTGAGGCAGTGTGTGCCTTTTGCAGCATCGTCCCATTGGTGGGTCATACGTCCTAACCACAGACAGATACAGCAAATTTATGCGATCCAGGCACCACTCGAGACATTACAAACGACATGCCATTGGTCACACCTTGCGTCGCCTGCACAATCCCGCAACCATAATTACACACATTGAACGCACACGCGAGTCTTTGCTTTTTTATTCCACGTGGGCCAGCGGCGAATTTGCGGAACGCGCTCGCCCAGGTCGTATCAACGCAGTTGCTGAGTGCATGAATAGACTCATCTAATGAAAAATGTTGAAACTGCCCTGTCAATGAATTGTCATGAGCTCAACTAACCGGGGTACCATATGGAATTTCGATCGAAAGACATGGAAGAACAATGAAAAGGCGAAATTGGTCAGAACTAGCTGCAATGGATCTCAAAAGCAATTTTACGGCGATTATTCCAATCAAAACACACATATTGTCATCCCTAAGGTTCCTTATCTACTTCTACTACTATTTAAATCTTCACATTAATAAAAAGAAAAAGTAAACGAAAAATTTATTGAAATGAAGATTTCGTATGGTTCAGAAATCCTCCTCTAAATTAAAGTATACGTGACCATTCTAAGGGCCACTATGTTTGTAGCTACGTCAAGGTCTCTTCCATGGAATGAATACAAGAAACTTCTAAAAGAATCAGGCGTGCGCGAAAAAAATGAGTGTAATGGGTGCGGGGGATATATATCCCGCACGGTCCGACATGGCCTGCAATGCGCGGGATATATTAGGTTGGAAAGAAAGTTCTGCAACACTCTTTCCAAAATTTTCTTTTTTTCTGAAAAATTCATAGGTAACATTTATGACTACCAAATGATAGAGCATTCTCAAGGCTTCAATCCACGAGGTGGATATAAGTTCTGCAGTCAGTAGTTATCCAAGAAAATTCAAAAAATCTCGACCACTAGCAAATCCGTACTCCGAGTCACTGTCTAGTACAAATGTCTACAAAACCATGGATTCGTGTCAACGACTGACACTATCTGCAATAGCTCTAATGGCATGCCGTTCAGCGCTACAGCGTGTTTCACCTTTACCAGCGCTTCCGATCTTTTGATATTTTTATAAGAAGCCAGCAGCAATCCCTACACTCCATTACAGGGTAGGGCTCTGCCACAAATTAGCTCTACTTCATACCCTTCGTTATGGGCACCATTGTGTAGGCAGTGGCCTAGGTTGTGGAGTACCAGAAGCTGGCCGAGGTAGCTCGTCAAGAGCCCTCGTACCGCGACAATATTCATTTCTTTCATGACATTGCGAATCACCATGATCCGAAATGAGCCCGGTAAGAAATTCTGGAGTTGCGGCAAGATTTCTTTCCTCTCTTAGCGTAATCCTCTGGTCGAGCTGTAAATAAGTGCTACCTATCCTGGACCTTTAATCATCATCTTTATAACGAAATAATCAGACGATCAACTCCAACTCGAAAGTGAGGTCGCCTCCTTTCTCGACTCGCACTCCGCTGGGTTTTGGCGGAGGGATCAAGAAATTTTCTGAGCGATGGAGACAAGTGGTGGACACTCATGGTAGATATAAGACCGGTCAGAAGTTGTAACCAAAAAAGATAAAATTAAAATCAAAAATTTGAAAAAGTGTTGCAGGACTTTCTTTCCAACCTAATATCTATCCCCCGCGTGTCCGCATGTGTTAAACCAATCTTGTGATAAATTTGGCACGTACGGCGGCATAGAAAGCAACTATCCAATAAAAACTGGTCTTAAAAGGGTAGCATCTACTGAGTTGAAGGTTTACTTCAGTTTACTCAAGCTACACTGTTCATTCACACCCGTTATCTTTCGGCTGAACGTTGATGAAGCTATGTAAGTTTTATCAGCCGAAGGTGGTTGTGGTTAGAATTGTGCCGGTGGTGGTTAATGGTAACACAAATCCCGGAGGACGTACGAATCTCTGGCTGGGCGAAAATCTGCTTCACTTTCACAGCATTTCCTTTGCGTGATAACTTTGCAGCGCGAACTGCGGCGTCAAATAGCAGTTATATCCAATTGAAACAGGTCGAAAAATTGTTAAATGTAAAAAAAGATACGAAGGTCCGATGATGTCCTTAAGGGCAAAGAGGTCTGAGGTGGTGCAAGTGTTGCTCATAAGGCTCCAATGGTTCTGCGGGTTGCATTTTGAAACTCAGTCCTGTTATGTCGAGAACCTCAATCCGTTCGGATGTAGAATGCCGGCGGCTAGATTCCGGCGAAGATAAAACAGCGATTCTTGTCGCAACTGTCCTCACTCATTGGAATTTGTAGGTCATGTCGCTTCCAAAAATTCGACTTTCGATTTTTAGTGAGTAGAGGCGTGTGCGCATTCCCAAAGAAGGTCCTATCAATGCCAGACGCTCCATTTTAATCATTTCGTGTAAAACGACAAAACTCTGATACATAGCAAATGACCCCAATTTCTGCTCGAGCTCTGTTCATAGCTGTCTTTTTCAGTCACTCATCTTCACGAGCAGGGAACTATCATGGATAAGTACTGCAGACGCCGACTTTGAAGGACAACACCGAACTTTCGGCAAAACTGGCCTATATTTTGTAAATAATTGAATTGTCTTCTATCACTCTGTTTTATCCGATCTCTTCTTCTCAAGCGTTTCGTCAACAGTTCCTGTTGGATTCAGCTTCAGTTTATTTGGTTCATTTATTGAGTTTATTTAGTTCATATAATATGGCGCTCAACGATCGCATTGGTTTACTCATAATTATAAATCTTGTGAACCCTGCTGGGGCATCGTGCACCTGACGTTGTCGGCCTATCCTTTTGTAATGAATATCCTCGTAAAGAAGAGCGGGAGGAGAATATCCTTGCCGTATCAAGTCACCGCTCTCAAGTGTCATACTGAGATACACGCTAGCCAAACAGATGCCCTGCAAATTCTGGACCTAACAGAAAGGCATCCAAACGAGTAGTACGCGCTCCGTTATACTGCCAGAAACTAGGTCAAGAAAATTCCGGCTCAGCTTTCGAGCGCCAGTCGTTTAAAGCTAGACATCCTGACATCTTTTGCTGGCTTTTTGTCACCACCTTGAAGCTATTGGTGTAAATGCTAATGCTCAGGTCGTATACGTCTACTGACTAACACTTGCCCTACAACCTTAAAGCAGCAACAGAGGTACTTGAACGCGAGTAAATCTACTACACTGTGATTTGAAGGCAGAATTTACGATGAAAAGTTAGCTCATTGGAAATAAGGGTAGAGGTGGTCAGTGGAGCAGGGATGAAGAAGAAACCATTTGAAACGGCCCGAAACCCGAGAAATGGGACCCCTTCCTTGCCCGTTGATTTGCGCATTGATGCGACTCTCATCGCTGTGCCCTCTTCAACACTACGCTCTCTCTGCTATCTAATCACTCGCCACGTATAGACCTGCGGCGAGTGATTAGATAGTCGGTGGGCGTACCCGCCAACCGCGCCAAGAGTGAGCCATGAGGTCAAATCTTTCGCTGCCAATTGCGCGTCGGTCAGCACCCTCAGGAGGTCCGCCTGTCTCCCAACTATGCAATTTTCCCCTTCTTTGACCTTCGTTCTTATCGAATTCCTCCTTCAAGGGCACCGTTCTGCAAGTCAGTGCTTCTCCCAGACAGCTTGGTGCTGATTACTCTACCCCGGAGGAATGAAAAGCTGGGTTAGATTGACAGGCTACCATCCAGGACTTGATTACATAGCCGTGCATCATTTTGACGCCAGTTACAATCAGACCACTTCTGCCCTACCGGCCTTCAACATT